TCGTACACGAAGGCGCACTGCAGGATCGGTTATCCCGATATTATGCACGACATCCAGTTTCACATTTATTGCACAACACGTAAAATTGTACGGCCACTTGGTTTTCGTGAACGCCCGGGAAATGATTCCATGTAAATTGCGGCCGCACGATAAGTATTTTCTCCCACTAGTCCGTATGCCACAATCGTATCCGTATATTCCTGTAGAATATACTTTATTTTCACTGTTAATTTACTACGCGAACACAAGATTTTTATTAAAACGTCTTAGCTTTCGCACGCTGTTGCCAGACTGCACACGCCAGCAGCACGCAACTACAGCTGAGCGGACATGTGAGTGTAAGTGTACATGTGAGTTCGACGCCTGCTCACTACGATTACACATGATTACTTCGCCCCGCTCGTAGTATCAGATTACAGTGGGACGACTCTAGTCGCCGCGCGCTTTTACTCACGCAGATTCGTCGATCTTCTTTATTTAATTTTTCGTTAATTATTACGAATCACAAAATAATACAGGTCCTTCTTTTTTAATTTGAGCCAATCTACTTTCTTATTTCGTCAAGATCGAAAATTGACGGACACCCTGTATATATTAGTACAATATAAAATACAAAATTTAAAAATATGAAAATTTTGGCAAAAACTTTTGCAGTGTTATTAATAGAAATTTCGTATTACATTTGTCGTATGGTCTTAAAACAGATAATAAGCATTGTGTTTCTCAATCAGGAATATTCGACAACACTGTTGCTAATACGCGAGCGATAAGAAAGGCGCAGTGAGCTAAGAAATCCAGCCAAAAGTTACGAAATAAATCCCAGCACTGTATTATGTTAATAATAAATGTGCTATCTATACACATTTATTTATTCCTAACATATAAAATTATATCACTCTCTTTAAAATATATAGATTTATTATCAAAATTGTCAAATGGTATAATTTTAATGATTTGCCCGGGAAAAAAAGGCCATGTCTATTTATATAAAAAAAAGTAAAATTATATATAGTCTTATATGATTATATATAGAGTGAGCCATTTTAATCTATAATTGCAAATTTCTCCAAAACTACGCCAGATACAAAAAAATGATTGGTATAAAAATTGTAGATGATGAAGGGGGACATGTGCCAATAACTTTGACCTTGAGATCAATTTTCAAGGTCATTTGAAGGCCAAGGTCATTTTTTTAAATTGTAATCCCTATTTTTGACACCGGATTTAGAAAGAGCGTAAAATTTTACGTTAGAAGTGATATTTGAAAAAAAAAATCTGAGCTCAAGAAGGTCAAAATCAAGGTCAATGATTAATTATTAATTTTTTGTTTTTTTTACTCTTACTTTTAGCGTTACCCGGAAACAACGACGTGGACGTAGTAAGTTCTGTTTCCTTCGGGGTGCTTTATTTTTGTGAGTGTTTTGCTTATGTTTTTGTGTTATATGGATAATAACTTTTTAATAAACAAAAATGCTGAATAAAACGTTTACAACAATACTCAGAGTTAATAACATATTTCAAAATTATTAAAATCGGGAACAGTGATGCCAGAATGTATACGCTGGCAACTAAGTTCGGCAAGCTCACATACGTGGTTTCCGTTCGTGTGCGTCACCTTCTCTATTGCTCTATTGCTGGTATCCATTTTCATCACTAATCAGGAGATATTTTTCTATTTTTAAATAATTACCAAAAAAGAGGAGAGTCACTTAGCGTATTTCTTTGGAGGCTTGCCACGGCATTATTAGAATCCATTCATCACTGTTATCAACACAATAGAGATATTATTATTTACTAGAGGGATCTTGAGGAATATGATCACTCTATGGCGTTATGCTCGTCGGTGCTATGTTTTACGGAAGAGTTGAAAGCCAGCACGCAGTACACACGAATACTTCCACCGGCACTTATTTGGTCAACGAGTGAGTTTTGATGGATCCTTTGTGGCAAACGGCATTGCATCCATCGAGATTCCAACATCGCTCTGAAGTCGCATATCACTGTTAAAAAGCGACATTAAGTATGAGGTCTAGATTGCTCAGTAATCTAGAGCAGTTGCTCGGAAAGCGAAAAACTCGGGTTTGATTCCCGATACAGTCATTTTCATATTTTTCTAGTCCACGAATATTGTTTTCTAGCAATTATTCGTTAGGCTGAAAAATATATGACTGCTCTTTTCACAGAATATACGTCGATGTTACGGATGGATTCTGTCGCTCGTTGACCAAATGAGCGTACACGTTTAATCTCCCATATACACCCCTATCTTTACTTACTAGGATTTTCAAAAAACAATGTTTTTGTGTTGTATGATCATTAATGTTAAATGTTAAAGACAATCATTAAATGAGAAACAAATTCGATCTATAAGGTCAAAATTAATTATTAATCTAGGTATATTACTATGATACCTGAGTCTTTCATAACTAATAAAAACTGATAAAATATTATCGCTCATTATATTGCTCTACTAATAAAATATTATCGCTCATCATATTAATATTTTTCATTTTAGTTCATAAGATGTATCATCTTCAAGATAAATATAGCTAAAGATAAATACAGCTTATAATGAAAAAATTAATTTTTTTATTATTCTTGACATATACAGGGTGTCAGGAAAATTTTTTCAATCCTGAAGTTTAAAGGTAGATTGGCTCAAATTAACAAAGATCTTCTACTGTTTTGTGATATTTGTAATAATTAACGAAAAATTAAAGAAGATCGGCTAATACGCGTGGCTAGAAGTACGTGGCAGTGAAGGCGGTCTCACTGTAACAATGGCAGCACGCGGAACGGTGATTGGGGAGGGGAGGAGCCGCACATCAGCACATTCATCGCTTCTTCCTTCCCCAATCATTGCTTCGCCGCACGTCGCCATTGTGTTACAGTGAGACCGCCTTCACCATTACTTCTAGCCACGCGCATTGGCCAATCTTCTTTAATTAATTTTTCGTTAATTATTGCAAATATCGCAAAACAATAGAAAACCTTTCTTATTAATTTGAGCCAATCTATCTTCACATTTCGGGACAGCAAAAAATTTCCTAACACCCTGTATATATACTTTTCCTTAAAGATGATACATATTATAATCTAAAATAAATGCTAAAATAATGTTAATATGATGACAGAGCAGTATAATAAGGGATAATATTTTATTAATTCTTATTAGTAAAAATGCTGTAGGTAGGTATACCTATAGAAATAATTAATTTTATTATGGACCGAACTTATTTTTTCATCTAATGATTATTTTTTAACATTCCTAATAATTATAAATTACAAAAAAAATTGTTTTTGGAAGATCCAAAAAACATCCTAAATGATTTTCCTTCTTTTATATTTTATTATATAATTTTAAATCTATTATTTATAATAAAAAAATTTTAATTAGACAAAACAAATTTTCTTATGCAGTAAATTATGTTTTCCGAAATATGTTATAAATAAAATAAACATTATTTATATAATTTTTGATCTTTAAGATATTTCGAAAATAATCTTTTTCTGAAAATTTTTCTGAAAAATGCTTATTTTTTGACAAAGAATATGTCAGTATTATTTTATATTCTGCCTATATACACTTGCAGGTGCGCACGTACACATTCGCGCATATATACAGAGTGTCCCGTTTTAATCGATCACCCCGAATAACTTTTTCATTTTTGATTTTAGAAAAAAACGTTTTAAACAAAAGTTGTATGGTTTCAAGGGTTCAAGAAATTGTAAAATATCTAGTAAAATATTCATTTTTCAATTATTCTACCTTAATATTTTTATGCATAAAATAATATGAGGAATCAATTGATGTAAAAAACACATAGTTGTTTTTACATCAATTGATTTCTCACATTATTTTGTGCGCAAAAGTATTCAGATAAGATAATATTTCGAAAAATGAATATTTTACTAGATGTTTTACGCTATAAAATTAAGAAATTATTTCAAACCTCATAACTCAAAAAATAGGGTACCTTCCGATTCACGCATGATGCGCATGAAGTGACAGAAAATATATAATATGCGTGACATGAACTATACATTTTCTGTCACTTCATGCGCATCATGAGTGAATCGGAAATTACCCATATTTAGCGAAACATTTAATTATAGTGTTTTAGAAAGCTTTGGAGATAAGCTACAAGAGTGTGTAATGAAAAATAAGAAGTTTCATTTGAAAAGTTAAAGGTAATTTTCCCGTGACCTTCAAAAGACTATCCAAGGTCAAATAATTGTTACCATCTTATAATCTCCTTGAAATACAACTTTTGTCTGCAACATTTTTTTCTGCAATCAAAAATAAAAAAATTATTCGGGATGACCTATTAAAATGGGACACCCTGTATATTTGTATATGTATAAAAGGATATATATACAAGGTGGCTGAAAACTTTTCGCATATTTGAAGTGTGAAGGTAGATTGATTCAAATTAAGAAGAAAGGTCTTTACTGTTTTGCCATAATTGCAGCAATTAACGAAAAATTAATTAAAGAAAATCGGTCAATGCGCGTCATTAGAAACGCGTGGCGGAGAAAACGGTCTGACTGTAACATAATGGCGGCGCGCGGCAAAGCGGATTGGGGAAGGGAGGAGCCTTCGCCGCGCGCCAACAAACTCATTGCTCCTTCCCTTCCCAATCACCGCTTCATCGCGCGCCACCATTATGTTACAATGAAATCGCCTTCGCTGCCTCGCACTTCTAGCTACTCGCATTGGCCGATCTTCTTTAATTAATTTTTCGTTAATTATATATTTATATTTATTATATATTATAAATATCGCAAAAGTAGACTTTCCTTCTTAATTTGAGCTAATCTACCTTCACACTTCGGATGTGTGAAAAATTTTCAATCACCCTGTATAAAATTCTTATTATTATATTACTATTAATTATTATTAAAAGTTAAACGATTATATTACTATTATATTACTATTAAAAGTTAAACGATTAGAAATCATTGAATTATTTTAATTAAAAAGATGTATAAATTCTGACCTTTGTAATAATATGAAATTGCGCACGAGAAGCGCAACAATTTGGTAAACTTTGAAAAGCTGCTGTAATCTTTGAGACAATCGTTTCCAGTTGCGAGAGAGGAACTGGCTTACCTCCTGGAAAATAAAATCTAAAAAAAGGTAACGCTATTTTAAAATCACATAATTAAATAAATCAGGGCTGGTTTTAAGCAAGCGACCAATGCGACCACATAGAACCCCACGATTGAAAAAGCGATTACATAATTACTTTTTAAAACTAAATTAAAAATACACTTTTTGAAAATATTTGTAAGTTTCTGTAATAATTTTTATTTCAATAAATTTTTTTAGTTTTTCTTTTTATTTCTTTTTCATGTACAATTTTGCTAATTTTACTTTATATAGGGGTTTCGCAATCATTTTTCGAATAGAGTGCCTGAACGCGTACGCTAAGACCGCCCTTGAAATGAATACTATTTGCAATTAAATCAATTTGGAACAAGACTAAGTACTTGTCGATATTTTCCGGAATACATTGTATACAAACCTTGGTATATAAACATTCCTGTTAGCTTTCACCTGTCTCTGCAAAGTTGTATGTGACGGCAAATTCTTTTGCTGAGTCTTTTCTTTCGTATAAGTCTAGAAAAAGAGATTCAAGTTAAATTTTTAAAACTATTTTATTTAAAGAAAGAAATATCTATTTATAGTAAATACATTATTATGTCGATTAATAATCAGAATATTTAATTGGACAAAATTCAATTTTGCATTCCGCGAGTTCATTATAATTTGTCAAAACGATCAAGAATCAATATTCTATTACAAAATATTATAAGAAATTTTGAAAAATACAAAAAGAAGTGATTAATGCATAATCTAGATGATAGTTATATTATTGACTTTTATACGATATGATTATTTTTATTCGATTTACATAACAGAATAACAGACCTTGCATGTTTGTATGAGAAACTTTTATGCGTATTAAATATCGATAAATAAATTTAAACATTCTAAAAAGAACAATACATACGACACATACACAGGATGGCAGGGAATTTTTGACCTTAACGAAGTAAGGAGGTAAATTGGCTCAAATTAAGAAGGAAGGACCTCTATTGTTTTGTGATTGTCGCAATAATTAACGAAAAATTAAATAAAGAAGATTGGCCAATGTGCGTGGCTAGAAGCACACGACGGCGAAGGCGGTCTGACTGTAACATAATGGCGGCGCGCGGCGAAGCAGTGATTGGGGAGGGGAGGAGCGATGAGTGTGTAAGCGCGTGGCGAAGGCTCCTCCCCTCCCCAGTCACGCTTCGCCGCGCGCCGCCATTATGTTACAGTCAAACCGCCTTCGCCGTCGTGTGCTTCTAGCCACGCGCATTAGCCAATCTTCTTTATTTAATTTTTCGTTAATTATTGCGACAATCACAAAACAATAGAGGTCCTTCCTTCTTAATTTGAGCCAATTTACCTCCTTACTTCGTTAAGGTCAAAAATTTCCTGCCACCCTGTATAAAACTTACAAAACTTGCAAAAACTTTTTTCTATTCTTTTTAATCCTATTTTTATTCTATTTGCACATTTATAATCATTTTTATCAAAGTGATACAATTGACATTGTACATTTTATACATTTGTTTGTTTTTATACATTTTATAATATATCAAACAGTCAATTTATAAAACAAAATTGGAAAATGATATAAATAAATCAATTAATCTATGTTTATTGTTTTTTATGAAGACAGTAAACATTGTTTCTTTAATAGTTTAAATTATTTAATTTTATGTTCTTCAATATAATCTCACCGAATATATGTATATATGTATACTCAATGAATTTATATGTATACAGGAAACTATAATGGCAAACTTTGAAGAAATATTCCTTACATATACAAGATGGAAACATTATATGATGTGAAAACATGTTATATCACAGGTCCTTTATTTTTTTGAAGAAGATTATTTGAGAAACACTGTCGAATTATTAGCAACTAATTAGCAACAAACAATTAACAAAGCCATTCGCTTCCTAAATAGCCAATTATTTATTGTCATATTGTCAACAATTGTTGAAGCAGTTAATTTTAAAAATTAGAAAAAAGACTGCTTTGTGTTTTTTGGGTTGGACTCACGTGAATTCTAATTTTACGGCAAATTAATATGTCAAGATGTTAACATTGATATGCTATCTGTATACAGAAGATTTGATACATAATTTCAACTTTGATGACAACTTCATGAAACTCAAGATTTTATTTATATGAAAATTAAATTTATATTTTTACATCTTAAACACATATTAAAAAACCAACGATTTTTACTCATTCGAATACTCTTTCTAATTTTGGACAATTAATTCAGGATCTGAAATCTCTTATATTGGAATTATATCAGAAATTGAACTGACAAAAAAATATATTACATTTTTAATGTTATTAGCAGTACTTTGCAGACTTTATATACTTCATATACTCTCATAAAAAAAATTTGAATACGAAATAAATAGTGTAAATGCATCGTTTAGCGATAAGCGAATAAACTTTATAAATTAAATTTTGAGAATTATATGCTGTCTCATTATCGTATAACAATATTATATTTTTAATAATTTATTGACAACGAGAGCTACAATTAAGAAACTTCATTGCTTGAAGAAATATGCATGACAATAGATGAAAATCATAATATTTATGTTATTGCTATTATGTTGTTGTCATAATATTCTAAAGAAGATGATAAATCATCAGTCATATGATGTTGTTAACATAATGTTTTAATTTCGCTAATCGTTTGCTCTCCAAATTTTATTAACTGCTTATTGCTATAAGCACTTATGTTGTTGCATTCAATATATATTTTTTCCTATGTTAACAAATATACATATACAACATATATATAACAACATATGCAGTACATCAGTTTGCGTAATAAAATTAATCACGCTTGATTATCTGGATTCATTTTCAACAGTTTTATTTTTAACATTTGTCATCAATTCATAATTGAAATGAGCATCTACTAACTTCTCCTTGAATACTATCATAATTACATCAATAATGAACATATATATAATAATTGAAACTATCTGTCCACTATTTAGCAATTAAATGAAAAGATAATAAACACGATTTTATGTACACACAATAGAGCTGTGAATGATATATTTAAATCAATCAAAATAAAAAAAATTAACTTGTGTCGTTGTATAATGTAATTAGATTATTAAAAAAACAATTGTAACAAAAAAATAAAGCGTTTCCACATCTGTTTATGTCAAATGTTCTTTATGTGTGAGGAATATTTCCTTAAAATTTTTGACCGTCTCTTTTAGTCATGATCTTTTGTTATTCTGTTTATGTATTATATATTATATATATACACGTACAGAAACATAAATAATGTATATTTGATATACAGGGTGATTCAAAACAATATGATGTCTTTGAAATGTAATATTCTTGAACAAATTATGATTATTTTTCCTCTTGAAAAATTTTGTCCAAAGCCTAATTTTTGAGTTATAATAGCAAATAGTTGGCTACTCACAAGTCCGATACAACGGGCAGGCAGGGACGGCTCAACGCGTCACGAGACAAATGCTCTCCCATTTCCCCAGACAATCAATTAATTTTATTGCACAATATTTGATCCTTTGAAGTGTATACAATTATTATTGTATTTCTACACAATATTATTACCGTCTAGGAGGGTTATAATGTAACGCTTAAGAATAAAATATTCAAAAGCGAAATTACATAAAGTAACAAATAAATTGGAAATGGACGAATGAAAAACGAATTAGTAATCGCAATTTGATTAAATATTCTTATTTTTAAGAAAACTGACAAAAAAATAATTGAGAGCGAGAGAGAGAGAGAGAGAGAGAGAAAGAGAGAGAAATGGGAACTTCTAATTGCTATTTATCGTGTAACTTTATGTCTTAATTGGTATGGAAGTAAATATTTGTAAGTAATAAAGATTATTAAAATAGTAATATTTTTATTGTGCAAAGTCAAGTGAAATTTAGAAGCTGTTATTTATAAGATAAACAATCCTCAGAAAGAAATAAAATTCGTCTTTTCTTAAGATTTTAGAGACTTTAAGTTTTCTTAAAGATAAGAATATTTAATCAAATTGCGATTGCTATTTCGCTTTTCATTCGTCCATTTCCAGTTTATTTGTTACTTTATGTAATTTCGCGTTTGAATATTTTATTCTTAAGCGTTACGTTAACCCTCCTAGACAGTAATAATATTGTTAAATATTGTGTAGAAATGCAATAATAATTTAATACACTTCAAAGGATCAAATATTGTGCAATAAAATTGACTGTCTGGGAAAACGAGAGAGCATTTGTCTCGTGACGCATTGTGCCGTCCCTGCCTGCCCGTTGTATCGGACTCATCAGTAGCTAACTATTTTCTATTATAACTCAAAAATTAAGCTTTAGACAAAATTTTTCAAGAGGAAAAATAGTCTTAGAATTCGTTCAAGAATATCATATTTCATAGACATCAAGTTGTTTTGACCCTGTATATATATATATATATATATATATATATATATATATGTATATATATATATATATTGTATATATATACATATATACAGGGTGTCCCTGAGCATTCCATCACACACTTGTGAGGAGATAAAGCGCAGTAAATTAAAGAAGTCTTATTCCATGTAACGATTTTTACAATAATAATAGAAATATTAATTATTAAAATCAGAGGAATGAGAGAGGCACTCGACCGCTCGAGCTATAACACGGTCCATCGTGTCAGACATTGCCTGCCGGCGAAACGTGGAAATGACGATGCGGTAACCACGGGTAGTGGCGCGCTGTCCCTTTCCTCGCCGCGCACCGACAGGCAATGTCTGACACGGTGGGCCGTGCTATAGCTCGAGCAGTCGAGCGTTTCTGTTCTTCATCCGATATTAATAATTAATATTTCTATTATTATTGCAAAAATCGTTACATGGAATAGGACTTCTCTTTATTTAATTTACTCTACCTCCTCATAAGTGTGTGATGGAGTGCTCAGGGACACCCTGTATATATATATATATATATATATATATATATATATATATATGTATATATATATACACAGGGTGATTCAAAATAACCCCTGTGTCCGTGAAATGACACATTGTTGAGTCAATTCTAAGACGATTTTTCCTTTTGCAAAAATTCGTCCGAAGCTTAGTTTTCGAATTATTAAATAAAGTAGTTAACGCATGACTGGTCGGATACAAGAGGCAGGCAAGGGAGACGCAATTCACCGTCAGACGCGGGCGCTTACGCCTGCTGCGATCCGTTGATCGCTATACACATGCGAACACATACATTTTCTCTCTGTCTAATGTCTGTCTGCCTGTCTCTTTCTCTCTCTCTCTTTCTTTGATTCGCTCACTTACCTGTAATTTTTTTTTTTACCAGAGAGGGGAAAATGCATTTTATGCATACTCACCGGTCGATCCGGTGAGTTATGTGGGACTTGAATATCAAGTCGAATTATCATCTCGGTACTCCCTACCCACTAAAAACTCCCCTCTTTTCACGAATTTTCTTTGACACACTGTCCCACTGTCCCTCTGTTCTTCCCGAGATCCGTTTTCACATAACAGTTAAAAAGTAGTTATTATTACCTTGTTCGATGACTTCTAAGGTATTGCTGTAATTGCTTGAAGGAGAAATGAATTTTCCGATAGATCGTAGGTTCTCAAATTTAACGTAGATATCACGTTGCACAAGACAGAAATCCACACTAAATTATTAACTGAAAGTTTTTTTTCTTTCATGAACTGCATTCTTTTATAAACTTTAACATAATCACATTTATTTACTCACTTGACGAGACGAGAAATTTACTAATGACTATCACTAATCACTATTAATCATTGTCGAATAATAACTGTTGGCGATTAAAAATCACTCGATAAAAGAAACACGCACGGACACGTTACTATACGACGCGACGACGCGGCGATGATAATTACTCGGCGACTGCAAGCAGTTTTTTGTCATAGTAGGTTGCGGTAGGTTAAGGTACTACTGGCGCTATCGAACGCGATCATGTGTTCGATTGAAGAATGCGGTAAACATAATAAACATTTAACATATTAATATTATTACTATCGCAATCTGCTATGACAAAAAACTGCTTGCAGTCACCGAGTAATTATTGTCGCATCGTGTAGTAACGTATCCGTGCGTGTTTCTTTTATCGAGTGATTTTTAATCGCCAACAGTTATTAGTAAATTTCTCGTCTTGTCGAGTGAGTAAATAAATGTGATTATGTTAAAGTTTATAAAAGAATGCAGTTCATGAAAGAAGAAAAACTTTCAGTTAATAATTTAGTGTGGATTTCTGTCTTATGCAACGTGATATCTACGTTAAATTTGAGAACGTACAATCTATCGGAAAATTCATTTCTCCTTAAAGCAATTACAGCAATACATCAGAAGTCATCAAACAAGATAATACTAACTATTTTTTGACGTTATGTGAAAACGGATCTCAGGAAAGACAGAGGGACAATGTGTCAAAGAAAATTCGTGAAAAGAGAGATTTTTAGTGGGTAGGGAGTACCGAGTTGGTAATTCGATTTGGTACTCGAGTCTCACATAACTCACTGGATCGGTGGGTATACATAAAATGCATTTTCCCCTCTCTCGTAAAAAAAAAAAATTACACGGGTGAGTGAGCGAATCAAAGAAAGAGAGAGAGAGAGAAAGAGACAGACAGACAGACATTAGACAGAGAGAAAATGTATGTATTCGCATGTGTGTCTGTATGTGTATAGCGATCAACTGATCGCAGCAGGCGCCCCGCGTAAGCGCCCGCGTCTGACGGTGAATTGCGTCTCCCTTGCCTGCCTCCGACCAGTCATGCGTTAACTACTTTATTTAATAATTCGAAAACTAAGCTTCGGACGAATTTTTGCAAAAGGAAAAATCGTCTTAGAATGACTCAACAATGTGTCATTTCACGGACACAGGGGTTATTTTGAATCACCCTGTATATATACAGGGTGAGTCATTTTAATCAATACACTCGAATATCTCGAAAACAGCACTCTTCAGAAAAAAATGTTTCAAACAAAAATTGTAGGGTGTGAAGGGGGACATAAGATGGTAGCATTGGTTTGACCTTGGAAAGTCATTTGAAGGTCACATAAAAGTCACCTTCAATTTCTTAAATTGAACCCACTATTTTTCATTACATATTCTTGTAGCTTATCTCGAGAGCTTTCTAAAACACTACAGACAAATGTTTTTTCATTAAGTACTTTTTGAGTTATAAGGCTTCAAAGTTTGCAGTACTTCGATATAAAATGCAAAATATCTCGTAAAATATTTAGTTTTCGGTAGTCTTACCCTAATACTTTTATGCACAGGATAATGAGACAAAACTATTGGTACAAAGAAAACGCATGATTGTTTATAACAAAAAGTGCATTGCAAATTACACATTTTTTATTATAAACAATCATACGTTTTCTTTGCACCAATAGTTTTGTCTCATTATCCTGTGCATAAAAGTATTAGGGTAAGACTACCGAAAACTAAATATTTTACGAGATATTTTGCATTTTATATCGAAGTACTGCAAACTTTGAAGCCTTATAACTCAAAAAGTATTTAATGAAAAAACATTTGTCTGTAGTGTTTTGGAAAGCTCTCGAGATAAGCTACAAGAATATGTAATGAAAAATAGTGGGTTCAATTTAAGAAATTGAAGGTGACTTTTATGTGACCTTCAAATGACTTTCCAAGGTCAAACCAATGCTACCATCTTATGTCCCCCTTCACACCCTACAATTTTTGTTTGAAACATTTCTTTCTGAAGAGTGCTGTTTTCGAGATATTCGAGTGTATTGATTAAAATGACTCACCCTGTATATATATATATATCAAATATACAAGATATGATATATATATCAAATATACAAGATATGATATATATATATATATATATATATATATATATATATATATATATGTTTCTGTACGTGTTCCTTCCTCAAACATATATCCAACATACAGAGTGTTCCTATTTTAACGTTGCCATCGAAATATCTCATAAAATCTAAAAAATACGAAAAAATATTTCGGACAAAAGTTGTATGGTTTCGAGGGAAACATAAGATGGTGCCATTAGTTTGACCTTAAAGAGTTACCTGAAGGTCATGTGGAGATCACCTTCAACTTTCTTAATGGGAAACCTTATATGCTTTCATTCTTATAGCTCATCTCGAGAGTTTGCTAAAACACTATAATTAAGTTAATTTTCTTTAAAAACTTTCTGAGTTATGCTTGAATTCATTTCTTAATTTTACATAAACCGTAAAATAAAATCTTGTAAAATATTCATTTTTCGATTATCTTCTCTTAATACTTTTATGTACAAAATAATGAGAAGAATCAATTGGTGTAAAGAAAACATAATTGTTTCGAAAAAAATGTAATTGTTAATTGCAAATTACATTTTTTTTCGAAAAAATTATGTTTTCTTTACACCAATTGATTCCTCTCATTATTTTGTACATAAAAATATTAAAGCATAATAATCGAAAAATGAATATTTAACAAGATATTTTACGGTTTATGTAAAATTGAGAAATAAATTCAAGCCTTATAACTCAGAAAGTTCTTAAAGAAAACTAATTATAGTGTTTTGGAAAGCTCTCGAGATGAGCTATAAGTATATGCAAAAGTATATAAAGTTTCCTATTTAAAAAGTTGGAGGTGACCTTCAAGTAACTTTCAGGTGACTCTTCAAGGTCAAACTAATGGCACCATCTTATGTTCCCCTCGAAACCATACAACTTTTGTTTGAAACATTTTTTCGGATTTTTTAGACTTTATGAGATATTTCAATGGCAAAGTTAAAATGCAACACTCTGTGTGTGTGTACACACATACACACACACAGACATGTTTATATCAAAACTAATCTTGTTTATATCAAAACTAATCTTGTTTATCTATCTGTACATAAGAAAATTTCAGATTATTTACGGATTATTTATGGATAAGACAAAGTATTCTTTTATTAATATCATATTGTAACTTAAAAAATGAAACATCCTGATTGCTTGACAGTAATATTGCTTAGAATATAAAAGAATACCTAATAATAGGAATAAAAAAATACCTGAGCTTTATTCTGCACCTCATGGCCACTTCTCCACGTATTAATGGCTGGTTGTCGTGGACCTCGCTTGTCTAATAGTAGTTCACTCGGGCATTTTTCAAAAATAAGTACACGTTCTGCTACAGAACCTCTGGTAAGGAACGGTCTGACGGGATTATTGCCTGTTCCAGTCGCCACGGCCGCTCTTATATGTTGCTTTTGCTGATTAGTCAATTCTGGATGAGGTACATTCTGTTCTAGACGAGATCGTGGAGAAGAAATCCTCGGTCCCCATCTAGTTGCTACTAAATCCTTATCTGGATCTTTAATTTCTTTATCTTTTTGTATCTCCATCTCGAACTTTGTTTTCGCATTAGAGACCAATTGTTCCGTAGTGGAATGATACGGATGGCTGGAAGCTCGCTGTTCTTCAAGTCGCTGTTGAGTAGGCGGATTCTGTTGAGCTGCCTTATATCTAATCTTAGCGTAATCCACCATTGACATAGCGGACAAATCATCTTTATTGAGCGATTTTGATTCGTTAATCAACGGATTATGATTAGCGGATACAACAGCAGTAGCATTACCAATATTAACCGCAGTAGTTGTTGAACCAGATGCCACAGAGTTAGATGTTGCCGAACTAGATATCATCACGTTGACTCCATGATGGCTTCCGATAATAACTGGCTTGACAGATTCAATTTTTGGTTTTTCTCGCTTAATAGCCGGTTTCTTGCGTTCAGATGTCATTGTTCTTTCTAATTCTTCAGTAATAACAGCACCTGTTTTTAAAGCATTTATTAATCTTTCTTCTTCCCGCGCGACTTCATCAATGTATGCGCACGAGTTTGTTTCTTTTATAAATCTTTTTTCATCTTTTGCTGGTAATATTTTTGCAATTTCTCCTTGTTGGGATGTTTTGACTGATACATCTATGGTTCTTCTGGCATCATTTAATTTGTTTTTTAGCGGCCATGTTGTTAAACCCGAATTCGTTGAATGTGCCGAGTCGATATTTAATGAGGAATTAGTGGGTGATGACGCGATTAATATACTAGCGGGTCTCTTCTGCTGCGTTGCTTTCTTGGAAGATGTCAAATCAACTGGGAAAGTAGTTTCAATCGTTTCTAGAAAAACTTCACAGTGACGAGAGCCAAGCGTCTTCGTAAAAATCTGAGGTTTTATTATTTGTGATGGTTTGTTTGAAAATGGTGAGGACAATAAAACATTCGTCAATTTTTTCGAATTATCGATAGGAGTTATATTATCTCTCATGGAAACTGCTATTTGCTGCTGTTGTGTAGCATTTTTCTCAAACTTCTGTAGAGCGAATTGTATGGAAGACGGTAATGGCTTCGATGGCGATTTCTGCTTGGAAGCAGCTATTCTAGCTTTATCTTCTACTACAAAATTATTGACTAATTTTTCAAGATTGCCATTGTCCAGATTCGGCGTTTGAGTTAATATATCTTCCGCTGTCGAAGAAGAATGTTCAAGCGATGGCGATGATAATGCCTTGCTACTAGTCACATTATTCCCAATAGTAGATAAGTTGCAAGGTGTTAATGCGCTGCCAAATTTGTCAACAGCGGTTTCATTACTATGACAAGTTAAAATTTCTGTAGGCGCTAACCCGCGACTTTTCCATGTTTGATAAATCGCTTCCGCATGATCGCTAATCTGTTTAGCGATAGCAGCAATATCTTCTTCACCAGAAGGAGTTGTATCCGCAGGGAATTTTCGACGAAGATCATGTTTGGCTGTAGCAGCCATCTCATAAAAACCCTGCCGTTTACGCAATTGCGGATGATGATTGAGTAGAAAATTTATAGCTTGGATGCTAAACTCGGCAGATTGATCTAATACCAATTCAACTAATTCAGGACTCTCATGAACTGGTATGATATTGATTGGAATTGCATAACCAAAATGGATTGTTTGACAATCCACTCGATTGTGTTTCGAACGCGATTCATTCACCAAACAAGCATTTAAATCTGGACAGTGAACCGTTCTGCTTGGACGTAGGTCAATGATCGCTGGTATAAAGAGATCGCGTCGGGTCGCGTAGACCCGGCAACCCCAAGACAATGATGATGATCGACACTGTTCTGCTGGTTCGGTTAACAGCAACGAAGATGTCTTTAAAGATCGTTGAGGTGTTACTGCTATTGCTGACATATCTCAGGCCGGTTGGCCTAAAATTGTCGTTTTTCTTAATTGCCAAGTTATTCTATAAGTTTCTTTTATATAACGTATCATCGTTTCTTCTTTTTTATTTTCTTTCTCTCTTCGATTTTGTGTTTTTTTCTTCTTGCCACCTTACGTAATTATTAATATTATTATTTAGAAATTATTTAAAAATGATTAATAACTTAAAACAATTAATAGCACGATTCAAATAATGTTTGAGTTCGAACTGTAATTGTCGGGTAATCTGAAAACATATAAATCAAATTTAATAAATCTGCACCAAAAGAAAAATACAATTTCTCAGAAACAAGACAAATGGGGCAATTTCTCAAAACAAGAATTGTACAAAATATTGTGTGAAATATTATGTGAAATATTTTTTTATTCTGAATTGAAATTGATATATTTATTTCGTACGTACATATAAAACATAATGCATGTATATATAAATCTTTAATTAAATAATTAAAGATAGAAAAAAATTACTAATAAATGATAAATATTCAAATAGCAAAATTTCAGCAGTATGACATAGCAAATTTCTATTCATTGTGCACGCAATTATTTATTTTCCACTAGCTCACATAATGTGAAAGCAAAAATATGTAAATAAAAATTTAAAGCCTTTGCTCGTTCCCCCATCGAGCGCCTCCCCACGTAGCAAATTGGGGAATGCTCACCATCTGGCTGGAAAATATTGAGGAAATAAAATACCCGCGGTGGACCCCAGATAGAACTAGCACCAACATCAAACAATGGATAAAACAAATACGAAGATAACTACTCCAGGTGGCAGATCAGTTGAGCTGAAAAATCCCTCCTCGGAGGCAGACCTCACGGCTGGAGAGGGCCAATTATCATTATTTGCTAAAGACTTTCTTGAAAAAATCTTATTATTGAGATCACCTCTATCAAAAACAACACAGGATCAACAAATTCTCCACAAGAGTCTATTCAAAAATAGACCTCGGAATTCCTCCCTTGAATATGATCTTAGACAAAAGATCAAAAACAAAGGAATAAATATCCAACAAAACAAAGATATCCAGAAGAAGATTAAATAGCACAAAGTCCTGATACTTAGGCAATACAAGAGTAAAAAAAACACAATCATGTTCATCGCCTATAAGAGATATCTACTACTAACAAGTTCTTAGAATTACTGCTTGACGTTGATGGAAATAACCCTGCCGTTAAAAAAACAAATAATCATCATCAATATTATTATATGGCATAGAAGCTCACTACACTACTAAATAATTTTTGTGAAGGACTAACATATTAAACATAAAATAGTCACGCCTCATCAACTAAAGATTTCCTGTATTAATGTGGAAAAGTATAAAAAAGTTATAGATCTAATCAAAGACCAAGGACTAATTGGACACATGTTCACCAAAAAAGATGACCCTATCGGAGATCGTAATAAAATACCTTCACTTTACAACTCTTCTTAACTCAAGAAAGCCATGAGACAAACAGGCAATGACATAAAAGGCGAAATTATTAACGCTAGATTTAACCGCGATAAAAAAGTGTTAAACACTTTCTTTATAAATATCGAACCTGGACCCAACAATAAGCTAGTTAAAGAAATCACGCACATTTTCAATACCCGTATAACCATCGAAAAATTTAAGAAAAAAAAAATCACTTGTACATGCCAAAGATGCTAACAGTACTAAAAATATAGAAGATACTAAAAACAACTATCTACGCCTATATAAATGCGTAAAATGTGTGGAAGGACACAAAACTACAGTCCAAAAAAAGACCAAAGCACACCAGCCAAATGCGCGTTATACCTAGGAAACCATCCCGCATACTACAGAAAATTTAAAGTATATAGGAAAATCGAAAAAAGGAAAAGCTCTAATATATCATTAATCGTAAAATTAAAGAAACTGAACTCTACATTTGCCGAAGTTGTTAAAGGAGATGGATCATATCAAAATATGATAAAAACCTTGCTCTACAAACAATTAAAAAAAATTGACGCGTTAATTAATCAACTCAGTTCCTTACTAGAGTTAACTATACATACCATATATAAAATATATATATAAATATATAAAATAATAAGATTTTAAATTTAAAAAAATTCGATAATGCAAATTAAAAAAAACACAAAATTGATCAAATTAATTATATTTTAATGTTGCAGATTGCATTATGAAAAACATTTTTTTTTTATTTAGAAAATGAAAAAAATTCGAAGGAGTAGAATTGGACCTGCAGCATAATGGTCTCGGACTCTACCGCTCAAGCTATAATGCCTTTTCAATCAAGTTTTTTCAAAAACGGCTGAGCATTGGCCTCTCCTTGTAAAATTAAAATCATCATAAAGTTGCTCACTTTATGCATAATTACTTTTAATTCTTTATCATCAATACGAATAATAAATCATGATGAAACTTTACTTCAAGATTATTGGAAAATATTTTATGTAACATGCGTAGTAGTAATATTTTAGAAAAACAAATACATATTATAAGAAGTTTTAATATGTTTCAAATAATATGATTTTGAGCAAATATTAATGAAAGGAATTTTTATAAATTTAGCATCACTTTTTGAAAAACCGGAAGTTCAACAGTTATATTTGCAATAATTCTACAATTCCTGATAAATTTCAGAAAAAATTAAAAAATTAATTTAAATTATTTTAATTTAAAAATTGACATCCAAAGATGCTAAATTTCCGGGTCATTTTGAGAAATATTATTTCAACTAAGCAATTTTGTAATATATTCAATGGGATTCATATCTCTTGGTACGTCATAATTCTGGTTTGTTTCAAATAAAAACCAATTTTAGGAAAAAATTAAGGAAATCAATTTTAGACAAGAGATTAATGTTCAAGATGATTTTTATTAAATGACAGCAAAATAGTTTAAATTTAAAAACAGATACCAACTATTACAATAGTATATAATTATTTACTGATAGTAAAGAATTTACCAAAAATCTAAATTTCATTATTTGTTTTTATCATTATTTTTGTTTTCTTCTCTTGTTGATATAAATATAAACGTCTTACTGTATAATTTTATATATCATTACAATTGCAACGAATATCTTTAATCTAATGTGGTGACCGCGTTTTTGTTGCTCTTTCTGCGGCAATGCATTATCACGATACATTATCTTTGTCTTTCCTTATAATTTTACAAGGAAAATTGTATTCAATATTTAGCTTACTAATTTAAACGATGCTTGAAATGTAAGATATATAATTAAAAAATAGGAGATATAGTTTCATAATGTAACATCGTTTTGATGCTTTTACTCTCCGTAAATGTAGTCGTCGTCATTAGAAGTAGCCACATTGTATTGATAAATGTAACTGATTAGTACTACTTACCTTCGTACATATTAAATTATTAATTTGTTATCTTTGATTGTTAATACATTTTCATTTGACATTTTATATATAGTTTCCTTTCTTTATTTTTTGTTATAAATTTAGTATTACTGAGGATGGCCTGAATTGGACCGAAACATATATATACTCAACGTGATTTCTCATTAAATATTTTTCATTTTTCATTGCGTCCTAGCTTAATTGCTTGGATTTTTATTTATTTTATATATAATATTTTTTATTATATATAAAATAAATAAAAATCCAAGCAATTAAGTTAAGATTTTTATTTATTTTAAATATAATATTTTAAATTTTGCAATTAGTATCTGATAAAAGTGAAAAGAAATATTAAAAGTTGCAAATATGATAGAACATTCCAGAATTTAAAGACATGAGATACTAGCGGTAAAATTAAAAAATTTTTTTTAATTATTTAAAGAATGGAACTATTATTAAAACCTATTCAAATTATGAAACTGACAAAAAAGAATTGAAGTCACTAATATCTTATTAAAATAATATGCGAAATTTAAAAATTGTTTAAAAACATATAAAGATCCTAAAAATATTCCTAACAAAAATTATACAGAATGTTTGATCTAATTTGTTTGGTAACATAAAAATATAATGTCCTAATCAGAAAAATAAAAACGAGAGAATTGTGAAATGACTACTGAATAATTTCGAGTTCATTATGTCATTTACGAAAACCCTATTAGGATAAATTTATGAAATGAAAATTTCTGACAAAAATGACAATTCGATAAATCTTAAAGAGACAAATCAAAAGATCATAATATTAAGATAACTTTCGATAACTATTATAACGATGACTACTATAATGTATCTTATTTTTAAATAAAAATTCACACTGTGATTTTGCAAAGTAATATATTTATTTATAGTGCCCGTAATGGAATAATAAATATATTTTCCTGATATAATTGAAAATTTCGAACTACGAACTATGTCTATTAAAAAATCGATCAATCATTATTGAAATTCGATAATTTAAAGTACTTACTGTGGCTTATATACACATACACACTTCGCCAGTAACACTGTTGCTGCACGTAACTTGGCAAGAGACGCTATGTTTTTGATAGAAAAAAAATAAAATTATTTAGATAAGCTTTTCTCTTCTATTAAATTATAAATAATTAGTTTATGATATTTTACATATATATAAAAATGTATTAATTGCCTGAAATATTTAATTTATTTTATAAATAAAAAATATCTTAAGTATACATATATTGTTTGTTAGAGATTTCAATTGAAATACTATTTGTTTTAATATATGTAGACAATAAAATATTAAATATTTTAACAAATTTATGTACTTATTTTTTTATTCTAATTTATTATAATCGGTAATTATGTGAATAATTTATTATAATCGGTAATTATGTGAAGGAGAGGGACTGTTTCACCGATTTGACTCGAAATTCACAATTTTGTGTATTTTGATGCGTAAAACTATCTGTCGAATAAAATTGTCACTTTCTTTAGAAAAAAAGTAATTAAACATTAAAGTTGACAGTTGTATAAGATTAAGAAACCTATCATATTTTCAGTTTCCAATTTTTAAATAAATTTTTAATTTTTTAATATTATTATTTTTGAAAATTAAAACAACTATTTTGTATAACAATGTTTTCGATTAAAATATTTCTATTTAACTTGTATAAGTTTTCTTCCTTGTACTTCTATTTATCTTGTACAAATTTTTGTTCTTAGTTAGCGCTATTTTTTTATATCACTATTTTTGTAGACAATATGACAGTTGGATACAATTAGTGCACTTGACGCCCTTTTTTACCTTTTTTTAAAAAGGTAAGTTTTTGAGGATTATATCACTTCTTTTTCTAGTCTAATTTGGTAAAAGAGATTATATTAAAAAAAGTATATATATATATATATATATATATATATGTATATTTTTTTAATATATAAGCAAATTATATAAAAATATATATAGAATAAGTATATATAATATATATTTTATATATATATATATATAATTATTATATTATATATATTTATATTTGGCTTGTAAAATGGATATATATATTTATTTACCTTGCTTAAATTATCATACCGTACCGGCTCTTGCCAATTTTTAATTAATAATTTAATTATTTATTATTTATAACTTGCACTTTATTATTTATCACTGCTCAAAATATGGTTGATACATGTCACTAATGACATATATGATACATGTCTTTAATATCGCAAAGCGTCGCTAGCGCAATCTTCTGTCGAGAGTAGGAAATGTACGTTTTCTCTTTCTATGTGTTGTGTACATGTGCGTTGATGACCATGATAACCATGATAAAGATGTTTCTTAATAGAAAATTTTTATATTTCGACATTTTGCGTTATAATATCTTTTATAGATTTATAGATCACGCAGCGCAAAGATAAAGATACTTTCTTTATACAATTTAAACCTGCTATATCGATTAGAGCTAGTAAGAATTCGATCCGTTCAGCTGTTATTGAAATCCGATAATCTGAGTTACTCCCAACTGTCCGACTCGCGTATAGATACACGGAGTGCCGCGCGATGCTTCGCATGAACTTGGCGCGAGACATTACCGTGTTTCTTGATTTGAAATGATTTTCTTTTGTATAAGCTACTGTACATCTCATTGTATACAAATCAAACATTTTGAATCAAAAGTTGCATGAATTTGTGAAAATAATTTACGATAGAGAAAAATTAATAAATTATTTAACCTTATTAGTAATGAAATATATTGTCCAAAGTATAATAATAAATTAAAGATAAACAGAATTAATCTTTTGTTTCGGTGCTAAAAAGTATTTTTGAAAAAAATGTGCATAGGAAATATGTGAAAAAATTACACTTTAAAAGCAAATGTAAAACTTGATACTTGGTTTATCAAATGTAAATTAAGCTTGGAAACGTTAGAATGACGTGCAGAATGACTATAATTTATCAAGACCTCCTTGACAAAACTTCTTGTATAGAAAGTTACATATTTCTAGTCACTCGACTGTTGATTGGGTTTTCTTTTGCCGAGAAAAGTACAATTTAATATATTTAATATATTTAATACATAAAATACAGTAATGTATTAGAAGAGGACGGCCATAATGGGTTGGCCAAGTAACAGGAGCGTGGAAAAGTGGCGGAATTAAGAGGATTTTAAGGTGAATAGGAGAGGAGAAAAGAGTTGAAGATGGGGGAGGAGGCGGATGGGTGCAGGAAGAAGGAGAGGAAATGGAGGCAGCATAGGAAGAGGTACGGAAAGAGAGATTTCGAGAGATCAAAAAATCGGGCATCACTCGTCAGCATCACATAAAGTGCTGTGTCAGCAAGGAGGTACGCTAGGAGGGGGAAGAGAAGGAGAGAAGGTGTTAGAAGAGAGCGGATGACAATGGAGAGAGAAGGAAGAAGCAAGAGGATGGAGAATTGATCAAGTGAGAAAATAGAGAGGGAGCTAGAGATGCAAGGATGTGAATCGAGCGATCGATAGGTCGATAGAACACTGATGAGAGAAACACAGGAGAGGCAAGTTCGCGGCGAAGAGATAAGGGTAGATGTCGTGAGAGGATGGAGGAGACGGAGAAAATGATCGATGAATCGATGAGTGGATCAAGGATGAAGTCGGGGAGAACAAGTGGTGGCAGTAAAGAAGACAGACTCAGAAGGATGGACAAGGAAAAAGAGAGTAGAGGGATAGTTGTGGAGTTGAGGGAGATAAGAAAGGTGATGAAGGAGCTGGTAGGAGGGGAAGGTAGAACAAGAAGAGGTAAACAAGTTGAACAGAGCAGGAGAGCGAGATATCGATCAACGGTGAATGGAGTCGGCACAGCGATAGAGGATCGAGGATCGATATATATAGATGCGGCGGAATGGTAGAGGAGCGAGAAGCGATAAACGTCGAAGTGGAGGATCGGACGGAAAGCATGTGGTGGAAGCAGAGAGTAGTTAATGTGGTGGAGAGATACGTGGTAAAAGAGGTTAAGAGCTGTGGAGAGTGACGGGTGGACAGAAGGAAGAGGAAAATAGTGCAGAGAGTGTACGGAGAGAGGAGCGAACAGAGGGTTGAGAAAGAATGGGGAGATGAAGGAGATGAAGGGAGAGATGAAGCTGATAAGGAGGTGTCTAGAGGAGGTTCGAAGGAAAAGAAAGGGAGATGAAGAGAAGAAAGAGAGAATGGAGAGAAGAAGAGGAAGGAAGGGAGAGAAGAGAGCGGAGCGTCGTTTGGAGAGGCATAGTAAGGAAGGACAAAGAGAAAAGAAGAGGACTGCTGGAGGAATGATAGAGAGGGAGATAGGTAGGATAGTGAGGGTAAGAGTTTAGGAAGAGAGGAGAGGGGAAATGGGATTATGGGTAATAGCGGAAATGGAGGATAAGGAAGATATATTGGAGAGGGGGGGAGATAAGTGAGGGAGGGTAGGAGGGAGAAAGGGGAAGTGGAGTTGGGGATGGTAGGGGCAGCGAGGAGAAAAGGAACGAGGGGAAAAATGGTTGCAACGAATAGGGAGTTCTTGGGATTTATGGGATGAGAGGATTAGCTGAAGATGGGACGAGGAAGGGCAGGGGAGAAGAAATATGAAGGAAAATGAGTAAGGAAAGGAGGATGGGGAAGAGGGGAGGGGAGGAACGGGGCCTGAGGTTAGGGAGAAGAGGAGGAGTAAGGAGGGGGGAGGGTCGGATGAGAAGAGGAGTGGAAGGTTCGTAGGGAAGGAAGAGGGAGCAGAAATTGTAAGGTCATAAATAGGCCAGGTTCGAAAGAGATATGTGGAAGATATGTATATGTAAGAGTATGTGTGAGATTGAGTCTTGTAAGGAGAAGGTAGGGTAAGGAGGAGTAGGTACGAGGGAGGGGTGGGGGGAAATAAAATTGTAAGACCAAATATGGTCTTCGGAGGGGGTGAGTAGGAGGAGTAATGACTGTGTGCTGGAGGTGTGTAGGAGGAGTGATGAGGGGGGTGATAGTGGACGCTAATGGCTGAAATTGTTTATTGTTGTGGACTGATGTAGATTTATGTATGAGATTGAAACCCTTAGGGGACTAATAAATCTATACTACTACTACTACTACATTAATGTATTAATGTTATGTTGAATATTAATATATTGATATGTCATAAATATTATTCGTAAAATTTATAATAAAAAATGTTATAGGTTTGCATATATTGGGCTGAAAAAAATATATCCCCAAAGACTTAAAAAAAAAAAACCCACCGTCGAGAAAAATGATGCAAAAATTTACAAAAGGAAATATAATTGTCGAATAGTTAAAGAAAATAAAATTTTCGGTAGAGTGCAATATGAGAAAAAATTTTTCTTTCTGTAGCAGTTCCAAATACACAAAAACAACTCTGTTAAATTTAATAAAAGAATGAGTTTTACTTGGGATGGCAATCATATCAGATTTGTTGGAAATCATATGACTGCTTAAATAGCAAAAGTTTTCTGTATCTGAAAGTGAATCACTTCATAAACTTTGTCGACTTGGTGAGTACAAATATTTAAATATATAGTCTTACAAATTAATAATATTAACATTATACTTTTATTTGTTTTATATATGTAAGGGCCGACATTCAACATATTGTACGCATTTGGAGAAAAGTAAGAAGTAATATTTCACAATAAAACGCACTCTTCTCACTTATAAGTAGCTATTTAGTAGAATTTCTCTTCAAACGCGTTCATAAATATAAAGAATTTTTTCACAAATATAAAAAGCTTTTTAAAGCGTTTGAATAGTTTTTTTGTGCAATTGTCGAATTATTTTCACCGAAAATTTGTACCAAAATAAATATCTTGAAAGCTAAAACAAAATAAATTCAAATTTATTTACATCTGCTAAGCCTTGTTTTAAATTTTGCACTTGCTTTAAAAATACATTTTTTCATATACTTTTTATACTTATTTTTTTATGAAATACTTTACAATGGAATAAAAATTTTTGTTTATTTTCAATTTTGAACAATAATATTCATTAATTATAATATAACCTTATTTTAAAATAAATAATTTATAATAATCAACATTTTTAAAATTGTTATAATTCTATCTATAGCAAAACCTCTACGCATG